CCTCAAGGTCTCTGTGAAGCTTGGGCTGCATCTCTATTGCGGCTCGACTCGGGGAGCATGTGCTCCCAAGTTCACTCACATGCATGTTGACAGGGTTTGTTTGGACGGAAAGCCTGAGTTCCTGCCTGTCTGTTGGCCGATCATTTCCTCCATTCTCTCCTATGGAGCCTCTACATAGGGAAATTGAACACATGTGCACTTGCTCCCCCAGTTCCAGAGATATAAGAGGCAGAGAGAGAGAGAGATGGAAACAGGAGGAGGGAAAGAGGGAGGGGGCTAAAGACAATGAGTAAGAAGGAAGGTGCCAGGCTTTTTGTTCTTAACCCTGGGTTGTGTACCATCCCAACACCTTGGCTGCATTCTATTCAGAAGTCACTTCCTAATGACTGTGCGGTTCCACAAGGATGTGCACAGCAGGAGACAGTGAGCACCGGGAGCCGTGGTGGAGGCTGCCCTCCACATAGGCCAACATGAGGCACTTGGTTCTGACTCTAAGGGAAACAGGAGACCGTGGAATCATTCATGCCAGTGACTGGCAATCTCTGAATTTCCTCTAATTTCAACCCGTTAAAGCTGCAGATGTGTAAATGAGGCCCAGAGGGGCAGGGACTTGCTCAAGGCCCAAGAGCTGTGACACAGGCCTGTTTTAAGAGGTACTCCACACGATAGCCCACCCCTTCTTGTCATTCTTTCATCTCTAAGTGTGTGCATCAGACACAAGTGAAACCAGACACCAGGTGTTGTCACTACTGTCTCTTCTGCAGCTGAGGATGTCCTGAGGGAGCTATTTCTGGCCTCGTCCCTATCGTGCAGGTTGAAGGATTGAGGAGGCCTTGCGAGGCACAATGGTGTTTCCAGGACACAGAGCTTCTAGGGAAAGAGAGGCGTGAACTCAGCTGAACTCAGCTTCCTCAAGCTGGAAACCTGGTTCCATCTCAAGGTCCTGTGTGAGGCTCTGTGCTGGCTATTTGTGTACAGTTCTGGTGATGACATGGGCAAGGAGGGTGAGTAGCCAAGATCCCAGAGGGGTTTTGGGTTGGTGTGAGTGAAAGAAGAGGCCCGGGTAATGGAAGCTTGAGGAAGTGACCTCACTTCCTTGGTGACAGACCCTAACAGAACTTAGCACACTGGTCTCCAGGCGCCCACATTCTAGACATAGCCTCCTATTGAGCTCACTTGAGTAGAGACACTCAAGAGAGCAGGATGCTCTGCTGTTGTCTCCCGACTTGTCGAGGCTGTGGCTTCAGGAAAGCCAAGAAACAGAGACTTTTCAGTTGCTACACACATTGGCTTGGCCCTCACCTGCACCACCTCTGGCCATTTGGCAGGAGGATCCCTCAGGTAACACAGGGCAGGCCAACCGCCTTAGGCCACAATGGGATCCCAACCCCACACCCCTCTGAGCCTCCTTGTGTGTCCGGGGGGAGTGGAATGAGGGACGGCGGGGCTGAGGGGGCACTCATCCTAGGCAGGAGCCCTTTGCTGGGTGTTGGAAGCCTGGCAGTGCGTCGTGTTCCCAGCCTAGGTGTTGGCTAGCAGGATGGGAGAGTGGGTGCTGGGGACCAAGCTCCTCTACCCATAGGTTAGTCCCGAGCCATCCGGGTGTCATCTCATTCCCTCCCTGGCTGGAGTTCTACACAGACACTGCCGGGTACCTGATCCCTGCTGGGGTTTCCTCCTGTGGCCAAGTCGAGGCAGGTGCCTGAGACATCCCGGCCCGGCTCTCGGGCACTGTCTTTGCAGAGCTGCACGCAGGAGGTGGTCAAAGATCTGGCAAATGGCTTCGGGTACTCCATCTCCCTGGACAGGGGCCAACTGCACCGCACCATCATAAATAACCAGGGCTGCTCTGAGGTGAGAGTGGGCACGGAGGGGTCTTCCCACCCAGGCCCCTGAGATGACCAGGGTAGGCCCAGAATCCAGCCTCAAACTGCTCATCTCCTGGGAGCCTAACAGCGCTGTCCACCCTGAGTGTCCCACAGTCCCAAAGGAATCTGGACTTCTGCTCCTCCCCACCAGCTGCATAGGAGGATAGGAGGGCACTCTTTGCATTTTCCTAGGAAGATTAGAGAAAACGTTGTCACTTCCCACTAGACCCTGAGTATCTTTGAATTTTGCCTTTTTTGGAACATGCAACCTCGATAACGAGGGTCTCCAAACTCCCTTTAATGTAAGAGAAATAACCATCAGCGTGTTTTGGAAGTCAAAGGGATTCTCCGAGTGTGTCACTGCCTTGTACACTGTTTCCAGACTGGGGCGGGGTGGGGTGGCCACATAACATTTCCCTCCAGGTTGGGGCCCAATGAAGCCTCAGGCAGTTAGAGGGCTGGCCCTCAGCCCTCACTTTGGGCGGCTCTCAGTTCTGACCCACAGGACCTAGAGAAGCCACCTGGCATACCTAAGCCTCTGTTCTCCTCTCTAGAGAGGGGGTGTCTGTTGAGGACTCACTGGGCTGGTGCTCTTCACAGAGGGAGGTCTGTTGTCCCTCAGCGAGCAAATGGCCTCGAGGGAGATCAATGTGGAATCCTTCGCACGCCCAAAGTCAGATTGTACTGTGAGAGCCCAGAACCTTGCTGAGTGTGGGAGCTCCTGTGTCTCCTGTCGCACATGTCTGGGAGGGGCTAGGTGTTCCTGGGTCAGCTGCAGACCTCGATAATACTGGTGGTTCGCAGTGGCGGCCCTGACCCTGTGTCCTCCTCATCCCACCCAGAGTGAAGATGAGTCCACTCTGTCTGTAACTGAGGCCTGCAGGATGCGTGCCCTCCAGGCAGGCATGATGCAGAGGCTCTCAGAGTCTGTGCTGCCAGCCTTCCCCAGCAGAGTCCTCTGCAGTGTCATCACCTCCCTCTACAGCTACTCAGGCTCCAGCACTTCCCACCAGGTCCTGGACCAGCTGTTTCCCAGGTGACTGCCTGCCTCCTCCTCAGCACAGTGGTGACTCTGCCCACTGCCAGCTGTGTGTCTTGCCTTGGGAATGTCACCACATCTCTCTGAGCCTGAGTTGGCTCCTCTGAAATGTGGGGTGAGAGAGGATGAACTTGCTAGGCTTCTCCCAGGGATGAATGGGATCAGCCGTCCAGGTGCTTCCCTGGTGCCCGGCTCTGCAGAGAGGGTGGTGGGCCATGCTGTGGTTGCTGGTGGTGATTATTTCTCTGTCCCCCATGGAAAGTAGTCTTCAATTCACCTCTCCCTTCACTGGCTTGTGGCTTTTTGAGTTTGGAAAAGCACCTGGAGAGCACCCTGTCAAAGAGTTTGAGATGCCATCCAGCTGGTCCTGGTGCTTGTCCTTGGTGTATCCACTTAGGGATCTCTAGGGTCACAGAGGGGCCACAGGCCCACTCAGACACCTGGGATGGTTCTGGTTGGAGGTCATTCAACAATGTCTATGAAGGACCTACTCTGAGCAGGACTTCTGGACACTAAGGGTCACTCAGTGAATGAAGCAGACAGCCTCCCTGGTCCTCCCCTCTATTTTGAGAGTCAGACAGTCACACTTGACATCATTCACAGGTCCCATCTACCCTCCATCCCGGGTGATGCCCTCATCCCCTTTGGGACACATGGAGGCAGCTTGGCCCATTGCGTGCGGGATGCTGGAGGACAGGACCACCTCCCAAAGTGAGTGGTCTTTGGGTCGAGAAGAAGGGCCTCCTGTCTCTAGCAAACAGGGTGCGGGGCGAGGATGGAGGCTGTGGCCGCGTCAGGCCTGGGAGAACCCTGCATCTCACCCATCTTGTGATTCCCATGGGAGGGCTCAGTTCTGGTGGCTTCCACTCCAGCAGGACTGGACTCAAAGAGAGCTGTGCATGGGTCCCAGGCCCCTTGAGAATTGGAAGGGAGGCTGGGCTGCGTTGTCCCCTAGAGACCCACTCCCAGCAGAGTCCCAGCTCCTCCTGCCTCCCTTTCTCCACATCCACACCTTGTGAGCACCACCGCCAGGTCCATAGTAGGAGGTGTGTGAGCAAGCTGCTCCCAAATCTGCTGGAGTCTTCATTCCAGTGGCCCACATACATGGAGGGCTTGAGTGGGCTGTGTCCAGACCCTTGGGGAGGAGAGTGTCGGTGGGAACAAGAGACTCTCACAGACTCTGTGTTCAGCCTGCTGGATGAGCAGGCCTGCCACAGCCAGGTCAGCCAGCCAGGGCTCAGGGCTGGGATGGGGCCCTCCTCTGGAGGGGGAGGGTCTGGCACAGGGGCACAGATGCTAACAAGAGTGCCTTGGGAGGCCGGTGTTTAAGGAAAGGCCGGGCCACTGACTCTCTGGCCCATCAGCCTCCCCGCAGTGCTATCTATTTCCTGCTGGGAACCTGGCTGGGCCAAGGGCAGGATTGCAGGGAGCCCCTGCGGTTTCCATGCTGGACCCTGCAGCTGGCCACTCTGCACGTCAGCTTTGGTGGCTCCCACGTGGAGGGCCATGCCTACCTTCTGCCAGGCCACCTGGAGCATCTCAAGGCCATTGAGGCCGAATGGAAAGGTGAGGGGACTGGAGTCTGGGAAGACTGTCTGTGTTGAGGTTCACGGGCTAGCGTTCCCTTAGAGGCAGTGGAGTCCTTTCTATCTTTGGAAAGGCATAGAAACTGTCAGGTGTGTGCGTGAAACTTTCTCTTTATCCTGCTCCAGAGCCAGCTCCAAAGCTCCTGCCACTTCCAGAGCCAGAGCCAGTGCCAGCCCCCGGGCTGGAGCCAGCTGCACCTCCAGTCTCACCACGTGTGGTAGAGCTGGAGCCAGCAGCCCCTGAGTCGGCCACTCCAGGACCAGAGCAAGGGCCACCAGTAAAGGCAGCCCCAGAGCCCAGCTGCCCCTGGGCCGTGACCACCGAGGACCAGCTGCGGGAGGAGAAGCCGAACATCTTGGACTTCCCTCCCCAGCTGGTGGCAGAGCAGATGACGAGGATGGCTGCGGTGAGCAGAGGAGCTCGCGGGGCGGGTGGCCCCTGCCTTCCCGGTGCCATGAGCCACCCCACACCTGCCATTCCCTGCTCGGGATTCCGATGATCTGGGTCCAAATCCCTGCTCCCTCCCTTATCAACACTGTGACCTGGGCAGATTTCTTTCTCCCCAAGCCTTCGCTGTCCCCTAGAGAACAGGGGACAGTAGAGACGGACACTCAGCACCTGCTGTATAGGGTGGCTGTGCCGATGAATGAGGTGGGAGAGAGTGGAAGGTGGGCAGAGTCTGGCCCTTTGGTGGGGGATGGGCACTCACTGAAGTGCTGCCAGGTCCTTGGGGGGATCCCCCATCTGCGCAGGTGTCCCGGACAGCCTCAGCACTTATCAGGAAGGTGATGTGTATTGAGTCTAGTGGAGACAGTCAAACAAAGCTGGGGGTTGTCCCTGCCTCGGGGGGAATGTGCATGGGAATGGGGAGTGGGACCCGAGGGGCACTGGGATGGGTGGATGATGGCCCTTCTGGTGGGCATGTGTGGGCTGCCTTCTGGAGCTTGGAGGAAGTGAGACAGGGCTGGGAGCAAATGTCCCCTCCCTTCCCCACAGTCCTGAGTCCGGGGTCATCCTGGACTGGGTGCATTCAGTGGACACAGACAAAACCCTGGGACTCCCATAAGCCTCAGGCCAGATGCTCTGCTTCCTGAGCTCCAGTTCTGATCTCACCCTGCCTGGGCCTATGGGGGACTGTGGACGCTGAGCTGGGGTGTGGCAGGACCGGGTGACACTCCGCATCTTCTGCAGGAGCTGTTCAAGACGTTGGTGCCCGCCCACTGCCTCGGCTCCATCTGGTCTGAGTGCGACAACAGGGAACGCGAGTCCCTGGCACCCACCGTCCGTGACACTGTGATGCACTACAACACCGTGGCCAATTGCATCCTCGTCACCTGCCTTGGGGATGCGAGCATGACAGCACAGGACAGGGCCAGGGTGGTTGAGCTGTGGATCAGGGTGGCTGAGGTAAGCATTGGCACGCCCTGTCTGGATGCATGGGAATTGCCTCTTGTTTCTCAGCTCTCAGGGTTGAAGTCTGGGGTCTTAGTCCCTGGACTGTCCCTTGACCCTCATGCCAGGGCCACGTTGACCTTGACTTGAGGTCCCAGTGGGGACAAGCTCAATTCCTTGTGAGCAGTGTTACTCATCGTGTGGCAGGTGTGCCCTCCCTGGCTTCCCTGGGCATGTGTCTCCTCCAGAACAGGAGAAGTCCGTGAGGGGACAGAAACCAGAGGCAGCAGAGCTTCAGCTCCACCTCACGGCTCCATCTCTTTGCTTCCCCAGGAGTGCCGAGGCCTCGGGAACTTCTGTTCCCTCCACACAATCCTTTCTGCCCTGCAGAGCCATGCCATTGCCTGTCTCCAAGACACCTGGGGACAAGTTTCCAGGTGGGTAGTGGGTAGTCTGCTCTCCAGCCAAGCACCATGAGGGTGAGGTGGCCCAGGCAACCTCATTTGGGCCGGCATGTCCCACAAAGTCAGCTGAGACCACCTGGGAGACAGAGAACACCAGGCACAGGGACTGACCTGGGTGCTGGGTCTCTGAGTCTCTCAGTGCCCTTAGGCCAGCAGTTCCATCCCAGGGATCCATTTCCTTCCAGACAAGATCCTGGCTTGAGCCCAGGTGGAGATTGTCAGGTGTTTCCTTTGCAGCAACAGAAGCCTCTATGCAGCTGAAACCAACACTGTTCCAAGGAGATCTGTTTGGGACATCTGGGAATGGAGGTCCCAAGGGACAAGAGGAGAGGCCCCTCCACAGTCCCATGGGGACCTTAGAGCTCAGAGCACCCCAGCGAAATCCCTCATCCAGGCCCCAGGCAGTTTGGATCTGCTGGGTTCTCAAACAAATGGGACTTGCCTTCAAGCATCCCACAGTTTTTCTTTCTTTCTTTCTTTCTCTTTCTTTCTTTCTTTCTTTCTTTCTTTCTTTCTTTCTTCCTTCCTTCCTTCCTTCCTTCCTTCCTTCCTTCCTTCCTTCCTTCCTTCCTTCCTTCCTTCCTTCCTTCCTTTCCTTCCTTCCTTCCTTCCTTCCTTCCTTCCTTCCTTCCTTCTTTCTTTCATTCTTTCTTTCCCCCACCCCGCAAGGGGAGAGTTCTCGAACCTTGAAGAAGTGGGTCAGGAAGAGAGAAACGCATGAGCAGGGAGCTGCTAGTGCAGGTAACCTGGAGGCTGGAGATCTGGAAGGAGGCCAGAAGGAGAGGGGAGGGGAACATCCTGAGGGGATCCTAGGAGGTGAGGCTATGGCAAGGCTCGGCCCAGGCTGGGGGTCAGAGAGCCCTGTGAGGGTGGGGCAGGCTGTGGGATTCGGCCAGGTCCCCCAAGACACCCTGCCCTCCCCCTCCCTGTCTGTTCAGCTGGGGTCTGGACGCACCCCTGGAGTCCAGAGGTCGGGGCCTTGGTCAGATTTGGAGCCAGGGGTGGGGTGAAGGTAGCGGGGACAGGGCCTGTAGCTGGCATGGGGAGCAGCCTCTCCCAGTGGGTCCTTGAGCCAGTCACTGCCCCTCTGGGGGCCTCCGTCTCCTCCTCTGGGAAGTGGAGGGAAATGATTAGCGGTGCAGGCCTCCCAGGGGGGTGCTACCATCCAAGGGAGGACAGGAACGGGAGGAGATTTGTGCCGGCTCCTCCTCGAGAGGTGAGGGGAGAGCAGTGATGACACGCAGATGACTCTGAGTCCTCAGGAGACTCCTGGAAGCAGGTGACATTCTCCTCACACTTTTCAGCTGAGGAAAGAGGGCCAGGGAGGCCTGGGCAGGCCCAAGGTCACACAGGACTGAGTCCTGGAGCTGGGACTGGTCTAGAATCAGAGCACCCTGCAGTTTGCAGCAGCAGAGGCAGCAGGCGACTGGAGCCGATGGCCAGGGTCTGAGATCAGGGGCCTTGGGGGGACATGTGGAGGGGAGTATGGGCACACTGACCCTGTCTTTGGCCCCAACAGGAAGGCGACCTCCGTGTTAAAGACTGCAGAGAGGGCCCGCCAGGGAGCCCCAGGAGAGGCAGCGGGCAGCAGGTGAGGGTGACTGTGGGGGAGGGGCGTAGGAGTCAGAGGAGAGGGGGCGCCTCCTCGCAGCTGGAGGCCTCCCTCGGGAGAGGGGCCTTCCTCCTCAGGCGAATCTGCTGTGGCTGCCAAGCATGACGGGCCTGCAGTGGCAGTGAGCAGGAGGGGGCCTGGAAGGGCTGGCAGCAGGGCAGATTTGGGGTGGGGAAGGGCAGGGGCCACTGCCCCTGGGAGGCACCAACAGCCATCCCTGGGACTTGACTGATGGAGTTTGGTGTTCCTAGAGGGGAGCGGGGGAGGGAATTGTGTGTGTTGGGGTGTCCCGAGGATCCTAGGCTGCTCTGTGTGGGGGCGTGGGGTGGGCAGGAGGCTGGGCTGAAGGGTTTCAGGGGAAGGTTCATGGGGGCACCTGAGAGCGGGAGCTCATCACCATGCCCATCCTGATGGCGGCACAGGGTGTCGTCCCCTCCCTGGTGACGTTCTTCCGTTCCCTGGAGCTGCTGGACGGTACGATGGAGGATTATGTGGAGGTGAGTGAGCCCGGAGGTGGGTCCAGGGGCTCAGGCTCCTGAGGGTGGGGAGGAGAGAGTCCTGTCCTGAGCCCTGAGCTCTCTGCATTTGGCAAAGGTCCTCTCCGCAGGGCCTCCAGCCTCATGTGGGAGTTGGGGTGTCAGGCCCATCTCCCCAGTGGGTGATGCAGGCTCTGCATAAGCCACCGTCCAGGTTCCCTGGGCTGCTGAGGCTCAGAGCTGCCTGACTGTGTGGCCGCAGGAGGTGGTGTCTGAGCTGGACTCAGCCTCTCCCTCTGGCCCTGCCAGTGAGGGAAGAGAAGTCGGGCCCCTCCCAGTCAGGAAGCACATCAGTGGCTGAGCTGTCCCTTCCTGCCTGAGGCCTGAGTCTCCCCACGTGTCATCAGAGAGGTTTGGGTTACAAGGTCTCTTGCCTCAGTTGCTCTGTGCCCCCTGCTCTGGAGCCCAGAGACTGGCCCAGGTCCAAGTCTGGGCTCTGGATGGGCCTGCCCACTGGCAGTAGTGCAGCATTGCAAGAGGTGTGGACGGGGGCTAGTGCTGGCCAAGGGGGCTGTTTCTGATGGACTGCGGCTGTCTGCTTTCCAGGGCAATGTGCTCAACTGTCGGAAATGGAATGAAGTAAGCGGCTGTGGCCTCCCGGTGGGGAGGGTGGGGGTTGGAAATCAGAGACACCCCGCAGTGGGCAGGACCCCCTCTGGCCCAATCCCCAGGGTGGAACATTTATTTGCACAGTTCGATATACAGAGCTAGGGATCCTATGGCATTGGTGGGTGGGGGAAGGGCTGGCATCAAAGACTCCTTCCTGGAGGAGGAGCTATTTTGAGCCAAGTGTGAGAGCAGGCAAGTCCTGACTGGAATCGCAGGGAGGGAGGGTTCCCAAGTGGGCAAAGGCCCCAGACTGGCCCCTTGCCCCCTTCCTCACCCCTCCACGAGCCCTTCAGGGTCCCCCACTCAGGCCCTGTAGGCATCCTGTGCTTGCTCTGTCCTAGCAATTCAAACTGATGGAGGAGATCGAGCTGCTCCAGGAGGCTGCAAATCTGTACACCGTGCAGCCCGACGAGCACTTTGGGGCCTGGTTCCAGGCCGTGGAGCCCCTGAGCAAGGAGGAGAGGTGAGTCGGGTCAGGAGTTGGGGGAGGGCAGGGCAGACTCTCTCTGCTGACCAGCTCCAGAACCCATGGCCATGGCTCCATGGTCAGCCTCAGATCTGGTTGCATGGCGACCCCTGGGGCCCTTCGACTCCAGCTGCTGGCAGGCTCCAGGATGCACATGTGATGTGTGGCTCCTGAGAGCTCCCAGCTCTGCTCTGTCCCGTAGCTACAGCCTGTCCTGCCAGCTGGAGCCCCGATACCACTGGGTCAGAAAGATTCGACTCTTCTTCAAACACAAGAAGAACCGCTCAGGGCAGAGTGAGTGTCTAGACCGGCAGTGGCTGAATCCACGGGCTCAGGAAACATTCAGGCTGAGTGTGGGCCTGGGGAGGCAGACAGCTGGCCCTGGGTTCCAGCTCCACTGCTGAGCAGTCCTGTCCTGGGCGGTTGCACTCACGTTCCTGGGATTGGTTTCCTCCTCTGTGAAATGGGTGACGCTAAATATCAGCCCCTGTGTCAGGGACAGATGGGGTGCTGTTGGCTGACTGAGCACTGAGCACAGGGCTGGAGCACAGAGAGCAGTGGGGGCCGGGATGGGGTGTGCACTGTGGTTCCAGGGCAGGCCACTCAGGAAATGCCTCTCTTTCTCCAGACACCAGACCCCCAACCAAGGGCCCAGTGGTGGTGGTCGATGACCCTCCTGAGACCAGCTGAGCTACAGCGGGGACACAGCATTGACACTCAGGGTGCACAGGGCCACCTCCCCTGATTCTGATGAGGAGAACTTTGTGATCCATTTCTTGGGGTCCCCTGTTGGCCACGAGGGAAGGCACCAACCCCTCTTCTCCCTCCCCCCTTTTGCCCAGCACCTATTTCCCTATTTGCCGAGGCCATATTTTGTTGTCAATGGTAAATGCTCCGTTTGAGTATTATATTAAATTGTTGCTTCTTTCTAATCCTGGGAGTGCACGTGTGAGTCTTTCGCTCCCAGCACTCATGGAAACCAGATCCAGAAACTCACATTCCTCCTGGAATTTAGAAATCTCCCAGAGTGAGCAGCTCAGTTTATGTGGAGAAGGGAGAAGTGCCAGTCCCCTCCCTGGCTACTGAAGGACATGCCCAAGTCCCCCTCCCGCCGAGGACAGGATCATTGCAGTGTGGTTCACCCTGTCCAGGAGCAGAGATGGCCCCTCCGACCTCTTGGGACTAAGCGGTTGGAGGCATTTTCTCAGCCAGAGCCACAAGCACTAAGCTGGGCGTGTCTGTCAAACTAGCACGTGCCTGTCCCTAGCACACTTCCTGCCCAGGACAGTGGCTGCCTTTCGACACCCTGCCGGAAGAGGGAACATTTTCCCGGGTTCTCTTCACACAGATTAGGACCTTGTTTTCTGATTCAGTCTCCAGAATGGCTCAGCTCTAAGTGGGGAAAATACCATCAAAAGCTCAAAACGTGCACATAGAGAGGACGAGGCCAGAGGAAAGGTCCTGTGGACATGGACCATGGGCAGGCAGGACTCTGCCTTCTCGGGCCCACTAGGGGCTCCCTGGTCACCTCTGACCTAGACTGGATCCCCCTGGGCTTCTGGTCCCTGACGCCGAATACCATTTCCTGCTTGTTGTCTATCCAAGGGGAAAGCTGTGGGATGCAGCTTTTAGGGCCTCAGCCCGGTCTCCCTCCAGAAACCTAGTGCTCCCAACAATCTGTTCCAGAAAATATCACCAGAGACAACACTTTCCAACTCATCTTATGAGGCCAGCAGTACCCTAAAAGCAAAACTAGAGTTTAAAAGTAGGGAAAACTTGAGAACAACAAGTCTCAGAAATGAGCAGTTACCGTTTTCTACGAAATATTAGAAAACTGAAGCCAACAATGTAAAACAATCATACACCAGGACAAAGAGGAAATTTTTTCAGGTATGCAAGGTTGTATCAGCATTCCAAAATTAAATCAATGTGATCCACCCTGTCATAGGCTAAAGGAGAAATTTATACATATATGTCAGTTGGTATGTGGGGGAAGTCATCAGATAGTACATATTAGATATGTCAGGTTCTTTCTCTATCAATTGCACCTCATTAAAGCTCTTACAAAAATGAACCTAGATATAGAATTTACACTTTCACAAACTTTTAGTAAATGGAACAGAGACCTAAATGTAATGCAAAACAATGCAACTTCTAAAAAGATTATGCAACAAACTCTAAGTGGACTCGAATCTGGAATTATGTTATTAAGATACAAACTGAAAATATAATCTATGAAAAAAAACTGATGTTAGACCTTATTTATTATTTTGGTAAGGAAGGTCGACCCTGATCTAACATCTGTGCCGATTTTCCTCTATTTGGCCTGTGGGATGCTGTCACGGCATGGCTTGACAAGCTGTGTGTAGGTCTACACCCAGGATCCGAACCTGTGAACCCCAGGCTGCCGAAGTGGAGTGCGTGAACTTCACCACTGTGCCAGTGGGCCGGCCCCAAGTTAGACTTTATTAAATTAATATACTACTGCTTTGTGGAAGGCAAAATCGATGAGTCAAAAGACAAATTACAGACTGGCAGACGATATTCGCAAAACAGATATATGATAAAGAAACTATGTCCAAGATATATGTAAAGAATTCTTAAAAGTCACCATAACAAAAAAATAAACACCTTATTGAAAAATGGGCAAAAGACCTGAATATATCCCTCACCAAAGAAGACATACAGATGGCAAACGTGCCTGATGACAGATGACCACCCCCACAGGTCATTCGGGAATTTCATATAAAACCTTAATGAGATACTTCTACACACCTATTAGAACTGATAAATGCAGGAAACTGGAGCCCGGTTCCGGTGTATCTGACAGTTGGTTCCATGGTGTCTGGCAGGTGGTTCCTGTGTGTCTGGCATATGGTTCTGGTACATTCGAAAGGTGGTTCTGGCATGTCCAGCAGGTTGCAACAGTGTGTCTGGGACCTGATTCCATCCTGTCGGTTGATGCTTTCAGAGTGTCCTGGCTTTGTTTCCGGCATGTCTTGCAATTAGTTCCTGCATGTCCAGTGGGTGATTCTGGCGTGTCTGGCAGATTTTCCAGCCTTTTCCCAGAAATTGGGTACTGGCGTATCCAGGACCTGGTTCAGGGTGTATCCGGGCAGGTGATTTTGGTGCGTCCCAGCAGGTTGTTCTGGCGTGTTAGGATGGTGGTTCCAGCTTGTGTGGCAGGTGTTTGTGGCATGTCCAGCACCTGGTTCTGGCATATTTGGGAGGTGGTTTCAGTGTATCTGGTACTTGGTTCTGGGATATCCAACAGGTGGTTCCAAAGTGTGTGGCAGGTGGTTCCTGTGTGTCTGGCATGTGGTTCTGGTAGGTTCGGAAGATGGTTCCAGCCTGTCCGTTAGGTGCTTCCAGCATGTCTGGAAGTTGGTTCTGGCGTGTCAGACTCATGTTTCCAGTGTGTCCGGTGGGTGCTTACGGTGAGTCTGGTGGGTCATTATGGGATGTCTGTGTGGTGGTTCCAGAGTGTTCGGCGGGTGCTTTTGGCATGCCTGACGGGTTTTTCCAGCATCTAAGGTGCCTGGTTCGAGCATATCCAGCAGGTGAGTTCTTTCTCAGCTTCCTAAGGAGCTGGAAGCAAGACAGTTTGTGGCTTGTCTCCCCTTGAGGGATGGAGGCAGTGCTTTGTGCAGTCCACCTCTCGAGCAATATAGGGCATGGTTGAGAGCAAATGGGCCTTTCTGACATAGGGTCTTTCTGACACTCTCTCCACGAGTGCACAAGGGCGGTTGGTTAAAAGTCTCTTGTCTCTATCCTCCTAAGCTTGTGGAATCACAATCATATGGGCCTTGGCCCCATTGCTTAAGGGGAAGATGTAGCCATTACCCCTGAGCCGGGTTGGCAAGAGGGAAATGTGGCAGAAGCAGAAGTTCTAAAGTAGCGAGTTAAGGGCTGGGAGGAAATGGCGTTCAACTGCCTGTGTATGAGAGGTTCCCAGTATGCTGTAAGAGCACTGTGGAAAGCGACTTCTTTCTCAGCTTCCTAAAGAGCTGGAAGCAAGATGGTTCGTGTCTTGTCTCCCCTTGAGGGATGGAGGCAGTGCTTTGTGCATTCCACCTCTAGAGCAATGTAGGGCACGGCTGAGAGCAAAGGGGTTTTCTTCCATAGGTGCTTTCTGAAACTCTCTCCTCCAGTGCACAAGGGCGGTTGGTTAAAAGCCTATTGTCTCTCTCCTCCTAAGCATGTGGAAGCACAATCATTCGGGACTCAGCCTCTTTGCTTAAGGAGAAGATGTAGGCATTTTGTCTGAGCCGGGTTGGCAAGATTGAAATGCCCCAAAAGCAGAAGTTCTAAAGCAATGAGTTAAGGGCTCCAAATAAACAGCATTTCAGGTGCCTTTGTATGAGATGTTCAAGGTACACTATAAGAACAGTGTGGAAAGTGAGTTCTTTCTCAGCTTCCTAAAGAGCTGGAAGCAAGATGGATTATTGCTCATCTCCCCTTGAGGGTTGGAGGCAGTGTTTTGTGCCTTGCAGTTTTAGGGCAATGTAGGACTCTGCTGAGCAAACTTGGCCTTTCTTCCATAGCTGATTTCTGAACACTCTCTCCACCCATGCACAAGGGCGGCATGAGAGGTTGCCGGTATGCTGTAAGAGCACTGTGGAAAGTGAGATTTTTCTTAACTTCCAAAGAGTGGTTGGTTAAAATACTATTGTCTCTCTCCTCCTAAGCAGGTGGAAGGACAATCATTCATGCCTCAGCCGAATGATTTGGGTGAGGTCTCGTGTGACCCACCTGCCTTAAATGCTGGAACCAACTGCTGGACACTTCAGAAGCATCATCTGGAAACAGTGGAACCACCCACCGCAGATGTGAGAATCAGGTCCAAAATGTGCCAGAGCACCTGCAGGACACACCAGAACCACCTGACTCAAACGCCAAAATCACCTGCCAGATACACAAGAACCACTTGATGGACACTCCAGATTCACATGACGCGCATGAAAGACCCATCTCTCAGAGTGACAGAACCATGTGCTGGAAACGCCGGAACCACATCACTGACAGACATGAACCACCTGCTGGACACGCCTGAATCATCTGCTTCACTCACCAGAACCACCTTCTGGACAAGCCAAAATCACCTGCTGGATACACTGGAACCAGGCCCCTTAGAAGCCGGAAAAAGCCAACAGACATGCCAGAAGCACCTGCCGCACACTCTGAAACCACGATACAGACATGCCTGAATGACGCACCATACACACCAGAAGCACCCACCAGACACGCCAGAACCACCTGGAACCACCCACCGGACACACTGTAACCATGACACTGACATGCCAGAACAACCTTGCAGACATGCCAGAAGCACCCAAAGGACATGCTGGAACCATCTTCCGAACATACCAGAACCACATGCTAGACACACAGGAACCACCTGCCAGACACTTTGCAACCACCTGTTGGATATGCCGAGACAACGTACCAGATACACTGAAACCACCTCCCGAATACACCAGAACACAGGTGCTGGCCATGCCACAAACACCTGCCAGACAAGCCGAACCACCAGCCTAACACGCCAGCACAACCTGCCGGACATGCCAAAATCACCTGCCAGATAAACTGGAACCAGGTCCTGGATATGCCAGAACTAATTTCCAGAAAAGGCCAGAACAACCTGCCAGGCAGCCT